CCGAATGATCTCGCCCAGCGGTTTCATGTAGATGTTAAATAGTAGGGGGGACAGGACTGACCCCTGCGGCACTCCCTTCCAACTCTGTTATTCTGTTGTCTTACTGAGTTGAGTTGCTGTTTATGAGATCAGCTGCCAAGTAGGGTTTCCCCTTCTGTTTCTTGACTGTTTAGGTCTCCTCTCTCTTCCATCCTTGTCCCAGCCTCCCCACCGTCTCTTGCAGCATCCAATCTTAGACAGATGTTGTGTCTCTTTCAAGGCTGCATTTCTGCGTCCAGGGAAAAGATGTGTTTTGCTTTCGTTCTTGCTCCACACTTAATATACAGAAGTGCAACAAAAGCTGCAAGAAAAGGAGGAAGGAACCGGTTGCCTATAACGTTTTCTCTTCCTTTTTGCAGAGATTCATCCCAAGCTTCAGCAGCTGAGCATGGAGGACAATCTAGCAGGAGAACCAATTCCCCAAGATGGTCCAGCCCTCAAGACCACGGACGGCGGACTATTTGGCTATGTGGGGATTGAGGCCGTCCTGGACCAGATGCGTATCAAGACCATGAAAACCGGATTTGAGTTCAACATCATGGTTGTAGGTGAGCGTGAAATTATCTCTATCTCAGGAGCTTCCATACTTGTAGAGATTGCATCTGGGCATGTTTTTGTAATCAGTAAAACCATTTTCCTAAATGCTTCACGAAATTCATGGGTGAGAATGCCTGGCAATAAATTGCAGGTACCTCCTGACAGATGGAACACAGGTAATTGGGTGGCTTGCAAGGTGATATCATTCGCTGAAAATGTTACCTGGGCATAAGTACATAAAAGGCTGTTAGGCGGTCTCTAAACTCTTCTCTGACTTTACTAAAAAGCAGTTACCTGAAACCCTAAATTGAGCAAAGCTCTGATAAGCATCAGAATCCAACATTTCCTGACAGGCACGGGGAGAGGAAAATGACAGCTTGGCAAGTTAGAAGCAATAAACGGGTGAAGAGCTTAAATCAATGGGGGAAAGTAATGCAGAAAAGGTGAGGTATTGCATTCCGGAGAATAAGGAAGGACGAGCGTCTTTTGGATTGGGGGCTGTGGGAAGGGAAAGTCCTAGAGTAGAGGTGTCAAAACTCGATTTCATTGAGGGCCGCATCAGGGTTGTGTTTGACCTCCAGAGCCGGGGGGTGGGGGTGGCCAGGGTGGGGGTGGCCAGCTTGCCATCACTGTGGTTGTCTGAGTGCTCTGCCACCGAAATGGACTCCCGAGCTCCGTTTTCGGCTGCGATGGCTTCTTGCAACCCTCTGCCAGTGAAAACGGAGCGCGGGAGGGCTGCCTTGCAATGCTTCTTCTGTCTATAAATAAATACCACACACACTGCTAGAGAGAAGTTTCCTGAACAGAGGCTCCAGCACGAGTCCAAAAACTTGGAAGACAAAACCTTGGGTCCCGGTGACCGATCCAGATTGGATCCTGTCCCATTTTAATTCCTTTGCTGTTAGGGCAGGGGTCAGCAACCTGTGGCTCTGGAACCACATGTGCTCTTTCATCCCTCTGCTGCGGCTCCCTATTGCCAGTCAGCTCCACAATTTGACAGGGCTTTCAGTTAGGACAAGTAGAGGAAAAAGGAGGCCACGCTAGAAGGAGACTCTATGGACTAGGAAAAAGGACGCCATGCTAGGAGGAGACTCTCTGGTGGTGGTGGTGGGGAACCAGTCTTCTGGTCAGCAGAGGAAAAAGGACGCCACTCTAGGAGGAGACTCTATGGTGGGGGAACCAGACTTCTGCTTGGCTCCAGAATTGAACGGGGGACTTCCAGTTAGGACCTTTGTGGCTCTTTGAGTGTTTAAGATTGCCGACCGCTGTGTTAGGGGAGGAGGAGGACTGTGGGTTCCCTACTGCTCTCTGAGCTTGGTTGTGTTCTTGTAGACATTTCATTACCAAACTAGATAACATCATCAGTGCTGGAAAGGATAATAACAGAGAGCAAACCCTGCTCCCTTTTAGAGCTGGTGACATTACCTGGGGTGGTCATGAAACATCTGCAAGAAAGCCACCAAGCTCAGAGAGCACCGAGGGCCCTATAACTAAATAAATAAAATATCTAGCAGCCACTGTGGGGGCAGGAAGCCAAACGAGATAGTCCTTCCATTCTGGTCCAGCTAGAACATCTCTCTGCTGTTGGGAAAAAATTGGCCCTTCTTATCCTTCCCTTTACGGAAAATGCCATAAAAGCTAAGCTTGTTCAGCTCTGGCCAAAGCCAGTCTGGGTTTAATTCAGCCTCAAGACGGTGATCTCATCGAGCACGGATGGCCCTGGACAAGCCAAGCATCGTTCCCCTCTGTACGTAAAGGGGGTTTTCAGGCCTTTTGTTTAAAGAACTGATAGGCCTGATAAATATTTATAGGGAGGTTCTGAAGAAGAGGATTTCAAAACACACACACACACACACACACACACACAAATGTGAGATACTCATCAAGAACATGATCAAAAGCCAACTGATAAAAAGCAGAGAGAAAAACAAGCAACATTTGGGGAGGGAGGTAGCCTGTACGACCTTCAGCTTGTCCATCTGGTTCCCACACTCTGGTTTTACATTCTTCCAGAAAGCCCTACATTTGCATTAGCCAGAATTTGGCATCCCCTGGCCCCTTTTCGGCAGAGGGATCCCTTCCCTTCACATGTAGGCTTGTTTTTAGGAAAACACCAGCACTTCTGCAATGCCTTCACCCCCCAAATCACCCAAAGCAATTCCCCCTACCCCTCCACAAAAGCTGGAAAGACTGGTCTTTTCTTCTTCCCACCCCTCCTGTCACCCTCAATCAGGTAATCTGTAAATACCCTGGAAAATGAAATAATTTGAAAAAGTATAGCTGCAAGAGCTGGAAGGTTGCTCAGCTATGTAGATCAAATGGCTTTCCCCCAGTAGTGAAATTCAATTTCTTTTTACTACCGGTTCTGTGGGCGTGACTTGGTGGGCGTGGCAGGGGAAGGATACTACAAAATCTCCATTCCCTCCCCA